GTCGTTTATACCTCTTCCATACTTGGTAGTGGTGGTGGTGTGCACTCTCTCCTGCTTGTTCAGCATAAACACCTAAACCATGTTTATTATGTTGAAGAAACGGATAAAGATGTTAAACAAGTATATGAACTTTCCAGCTAACATTTAATTGGTATTCAAAGCTATCTTTCAGTTGAACTTGAAGTCTTTGAAATGATTCTTTGAAGTCCAAAACAAAAACTCCCCTACTTTCATTCCAAATCCGTTATTTTTTACTATAGAAAATTTTCAGATACAGCAAATAACTGGAAGAAGCAATCTTATTTTTGGATCTGTTAAAGCTGCACTCATCAGGTTAATCTCTAGATTATCTAAATTGTCTAAAAACCTTTGTGCGTTATTGCCATCTAACCCAATCCCATGGTAGCCTTGTAACATAATATAATTAGTTTTTAGCCATTGCTCAAAGCCAGGCCACAGAGCAATTAAAATCTACACAAACATTGAAATAATCCCAATAAATAGGTGAATCTCTGGAGGTGGGATGCTATGTTCAACCAATGTTTCTGAAGGCTCATCAAGATAAAGAATTCTTGGAGAAACACAATTTTGAACTCTTTCATTTTCTTATGTCTGCAACCATCAGCAACAAACTTCTTGTAGTTGATGTCTATGAATCCAAAGATTTTTTTTACACCACTTTCAAGTAAGCATTGACCCTTGCACCAAAGACATGCATATTTGCCACTGTGGCTACTTAGACCAAATAAAGAATTTCCGCATTTAAGATCAAATGCAACTGAACATTTAACATCTTCCAACTGCGGTGGAGCTATAAGTAAATTAAGGTTTCCATTGTGTTCAGAAACATTCTCTACTAAAGACAAAATTATTGATCGTTTTACACCAGCATCATCAAGCTTTTTTGAGCTTGAATGCTTTACTAAAAGATCAAAAACATTTAAAACACATTTCAGAAATCCCTGTCCTGAATCAACTGAAATTCTTGCTATACTGGAATAAGGATCTAAGCCTCTCTCGTTCATTGTGTGAAGAATAAGATCTGATGTATTTTTAACAAACACTAGGCTACGAGTTAACTTTTCATCTCCTGATATAAATGTTTCTTTAACAACATCATAAAACTCTGACAAAGAATCATGTAATCCTTCCATTTGAAGCGTGATATTGGTATTAACCATGTTTTTACCTAGGTTTTCACGTAAGTTAGTGCAAAGAATCTTTGTTTTTCTTTCGGACAAGCTCAAAGTGTTTGAGAGTTCCATTATAACATCAAAGGATAACTTTTTAAGTGATATTCTTTTAGATTTTGTATCTGGTATTCCAACAACAACATTTAGTGTATTACCGAAAGTCTTAAGGCGGAAATTTTCACCTCGTTCAATATTTTCTCTCGTCATTTTATTTTAGAAGAGTCCTGAAAAATAAAACTCTAAAAAAGTTTTCTTTTAAGGTTTTGCACTGGTTATAAGTTTCAGATATAATTAAAAAAATTGTTATAAATTTAAAGTTGAAATTAAGCTTCTGATTTTTGAGGAGTCCTGAAAAATAAAACTATTAACTCTAAAAAAGTTTTCTTTTAAGGTTTTGCACTGGTTATAAGTTTTAGATATAGTTAGAGAAATTGTTATAAATTTAAAGTTGAAATTAAGCTTCTGATTTTTGAGGAGTCCTGAAAAATAAAACTATTAACTCTAAAAAAGTTTTCTTTTAAGGTTTTGCACTGGTTATAAGTTTCAGATATAATTAAAAAAACTGTTATAAATTTAAAGTTAAAATTAAGCACCTGATGCTATTTGTTCACTACATACATGTCCAAGAGCTTCTGAATGGCTAATGAGATTTTTAACAGCTTGGCTTTTGCAGCACAAATGAGATAATCCTCTTCCTTGAATTAAAGAGTAATTATAAGTAATCATTTTTAAAATCATTTAACAGTTATCATTAGTTCAAGTTATTTGTTTACAAACTCACAATTATTTTATTGTATATAAAATTTAATTTATTATAATATATAGTTAAATTATCAACAAATATACTAACCAGTAACTGAAAAACACAGAGAACATATTTTATGCAGTTTGATAGCATTTTCTGTGTTTCCATCATTGACTGGAACAAGATCTACTACCTTTTGTTTAATATTTGATGCTCTTTTTAACTTTTGTCGATCAATCTTAACAAAAACACAACAACTTTTTATGTGATAATTTTTGTTATTTTGTAATAAAATGATGGCATTTATTGTAAACTAAATGCGACGATAATAGTTAATCTATATAATTAACGCCTATAACAAATAAAGTTAATACCTGTGATATTTTAGCTATCCACAACCCAATTTTTTGTGTTTCTCCTCTGTGTAAAGCATGAAGGTTTGTTACACATGATGAACATATATACTTGGGACAACATTCTTTTTCCACATCATATTCTTTCCATAAAAGGTTTTGAATATGTCTTTTAATACCTGGAGTGATTTTTAACACTTTTTCAGATC